GTAGACCCCCAAGAAAGCAGTGCTCTGGTGTTCTTTTATCTGCCTTGCCATGAATTTACAATTTCTTGCCACTTCAGGCCTAAATGTTGAGTTTCCAAGAACAACTTTCCTCCCTTCTGCATAACTTGAGATCAGGAAGAGCCAGCCATCCCAAGAACCTAGTTATCTTGCATAGTACACCCGGTAGAGACTGCGTGTTAAGAGTGAGAAGCTAGGCTTCATTTTGGGTAAAGCTAGACCATTTTCTGCTGGGCTTAAATCTTCTTCTGAAATCAGAATCAATTCCTAAAACATTGAATTGAGCCTCAGAGACACATTTTTCTGCCTGTAGTCTTTCGCTTTTCATGGTAAAAATCATTACAAAATTCTCTCCCTTCATGATCTTCTTATTGGTTCTTGGGAGGAATCAAATCAGGAGAGATGGAGAGTGAGTCTTTGTTGAATCCCCACAGAATAGGTGACCTGAGCCAGTACCACAGGTGTCAGCATCTGTGTCTGCAGGGGGACTTCAGCAGCCATCACAGTCAGGCTGAGTGCCTTAAAAATGAGGTGATCAGTTTTGAAAATTAGGTGTGGAAAATTAAGAGGAACCTGAGGATTCTTACACTTTTTGTGACACCATAGGCTGTAGCCAAGACAGTCACTTTATGAGTGGTTTTAGCTTCAGTTCCGCATTCTACCCCCAAATTAACCACTGTAATCCTTTCCTCACTTTAACAAATCTGTTTATTCTTGTCTCTAGAGCAAGGCCCAGCCCTCCCCAAGGGCCTCTATTAATAGGTTGGGATCTAGAGTGATAACAGCATCCTGATTTATGAGCAGAATCCTGGAAATAACTGATAACCAACAGCTTAGGTGGGCATTTATGTAGCTTTTTTTCCCCTTTTTTATTCTTCTTAACAGAAAATAGTGAGCTTTTGGGGTATATTTTACATTTATGAGAGAACAGGAATACAGTTAATGGGAAGAGCATGACCCTTGGATGGAAACAGCCAATAATTCGAATCTCAGCTTCAACACTTAGTACTTTGATAAGCTTAATTCTTGGCACCTCGGAATCCTCATAAGAACTACTTTTCAGAGTTGCTGTGAACATCAGAATAAACAATAGACATTGAAATATAGGTCATAATGTTATGGATCATTCGGACCTATACAAATATTCAGGTCTTGGAAATAGAGGGTGATGAGGGGTGGGGCTCCTCGTTGTTTGTCTTTGTTCATTTCGGGTGCTTAGGGGCATTAATGAATAAAGCAGATGAAAATTTCTATCCCCCACGTAGCTTACATTATTGGAGTGGGTGCAACTGGATGCTCCTAAACATTATGAAAATTATGAGAAAATTAAGGAAGCTGAGAGGGCTAGAGGTTGGGGGTGGGTTGCAGTTAGGAATAGGAATTGCAGGGTAGGCCTTATTGTGAACATATCACAAGTTTTGTGTTCTTAGTCTGATTCCATGAACTGCCTTTTGGAATGGGAGAAGAAGAAGAAGGGAGACAAGACTAGAGTAGAGGAGGGGTCTGCTGATTTCTAGGAAAGCATGAGTATTTCTCATAGTACAATATGTGTCAAAACACAACCTCACATAGAAAACTGAAATTTTCCAGATTGCCTAGTTTTATTTTATTCAGCTTGAGCAAACATCTTCCTGAGAAGTTTTGTTTGCACCCTGCTTTCCCAAATGATGGCTGCTGAGTGCAGCCCATCTGGTCTGTGGTCACCGGAGGAGGTCACCACTGTGACTCAAGTCTGGTTTTGGACTGTCACGAGGCAGGTCCTTGAAGGCCAGTAGAGATGTTCTCAGCTATCTTCCCTGTGCAGTGGCCTGAGCCTATAGTGACTGCATTCTACCCAAGTGAGGCTATTTACATATAGAGATACATTAACTAAAAGTAGGTGACATTAAAAATTTGTTTTCTCATTCATGCTAGTCATCTTTCTAGTGCTCAGTATCCACATGTGGCCACTGGCTACTGTGTTAGACAGTATACATATACAGAATGCGTCCACTGTAGAAAGTTTGATTAGCATTTGTTAGTCTGCATATTTCTGATTCTGACAAGGTTTTTTACAGTTCTGCTGTCACTTTTCGGGTCTATCTGCTCCTTTTGATGTGTTGTTTCTCATAGCTTACAGGTAAAGACCAAATGGAGAATTTTGGATAAAGGGTAAGTAGGCTCTAAGAGATAGACAGCCAAAGAACTCCCTTTTGTTCAAGCGCCTGAGTTTTTATGCTTTGAATTTATGCCTGGAGTCTGACTGCCCAGGACCTCTTTGGCTTGCTTATTCGTTTGCAGCTGTTCCCTTGGTGGTAAGGGAATCAGACTGCTGAGTTACTCTGGGATAAGGGCTATCAAACTTTAATGGCAAAATTACACATTCATGGATATGCTTTAGACCCAGTCAACGATCCCTTATTTAGAGCAGTGCTATTCAAGGAATGCTTAAGGACTGGCTGCCTACACATAGGCCAAGCACTGTGCCAGTCCCTAGAGATACAAACAAAAATGAACATGGCCCCAAATCCTGAGGGGAATCACAATTTGGCCAGGAAAGAGAGCCATAAGTAAAGCTTCATTATTTCAGTGCCCAGCTATGTCCAGAGTACTCTGAAACTCTGGATGAGGGTAGTATATGATCTAGCCTTCTCACTGCTGGTAGTGAGGGCCAGGAAACAATGCAGTGATTCTTGAATGGGTTTCTGGGGAATAAATAGTTCTTAGTAACATAACGAAGTTGGCACAATGGAGTCCGTAAGACATGATGTACCATTGCTTAACAGCCACCTTAGAGTGAATAGCATGGAATGAGAGTGGGAAGTTTTAAGTTTAGTATTGAAAAAGTTTAAAAATAAAAGGGAGCCAGTGTTTGCAAAGGTGGACAGGCTTTGAATAGTAGGTTGAAAGGCAGAATTTTGGTAGGGGTGAGAAAGAGACAGAGTGACAATGCCATTACCAGGTCTGACTTTTCAGCAGTTCGTAGTCCACTCATGCAGCTGTGGAGGTAATTAGAGGAGCTAGGCTGGAGGCTAGGACTCTAGTGGTGGTGAGAGGGTTGGGGAGGAGAGACTTGCCAGAGTCCAAAAGAGAAATCATGAGGACCTGATGTGAGAGAGTGCAATGGAATGGAACAGAGAATGTGAGTCCAATCAATATTGATGTCTAAAGGGTGACATAATGTTTGAGGACTGTCTAGATGTGGGAGATGAAGGAGACAGAGAAATCAGAGATGAATATCAGCTTTTAGGCAAATGGCCTAATTAAAAATCTTCTTCCAAGTGTATGGTGATAGACTTTGAACAGTAGTTGCTACTAGTGATTTGCACTGGCGACTCTGCTGTCTAGGTTAGTGTTTGGCTCTTCGGGACGCCAATCTCTCATGTGTTAAAATAACTTGAATATAGGCCACAGTGAAGAACCACCCTTCTATGATTTTATGACTTTAATTTGAAAATTTGTAGAAATTTGGCTTCATTTCTAGTGGCTCTGTTCCAGACACCAAAATTCCCTCAGTGCTAGGCCATCCCTTGGGTGCACCATTGAACCTGCTATTCATTAGGAACAGCTGAAAACCATCAGCAAAAATTCCTAAACTATGCCAACAATAACACCAGTCAAATTTCATGGTAACTCTAGGTTTCATAGAATTATTAATCCTTATTTATATTTAATATATATTTATCATGTTGAAATACTGTAGTTTCCTTACTTTCCATAACTGCACAATGCTTTTTTGGGCGGGGGAAGTGTTATAAATTAAGTACTAAGTCCTGAGTGTTAGTGGAAACATGCTTATAGCTTTGTAGCTGGTCGCTGTAAAGTAAAAGTACAAAACTAGGCTGGAAGGTGGAGCAAAGTAGGAGAGGAGCCAGTCCAAAGGGTACATGTCAATTGGGCCTATATTGAAAACAAGAATTCTCTAGTACCTGAAACAGTTGTAAAATAATTTTCTGTGTAACAGCTTGCAATTTAATGACATCTGTTAAGCTTTCAAGTAAAAAATGTAGTTCTCTGATTTATAATATTAAAGAAGTATGACAGATATATGTTGATATTTCAGTTTTTACTAATATATTTCATGAGTGCACAGATAAAGCCACAAAATAGTAGGCACTTACCACTTTCTTCTAGATATATTTAGCCACTGTATCTGGCCTTTGTTGCTGAATATTTTTTTCTTTGTCACCCTACTCTATCAAATTAGATCTTTGGTGGTGTGGCAGGTTTTGAATGAATTCTTGGAAGATGTGAAACCATCTTCCCTACTCAGGAGGCTTTGGGCAAGTCTTGAGGCATGAAGAAAGCAGGTACATCTAAATAAGTTGACAGGATTTTAGGACAATTGTACATGTTCAGAAATTTTATTTGAAAGATTGTGTAAAGTGAGATGCATGCAAAATTTCTACATCCTTTGAGGTGTTTTTATAGAAGGGAGGAAAAAAATCCAAGCTGATTATGGTTCTCAAGAGCATTGACATTAACTATTTGTTAAAAGTTGGATTTATGACAAACGTTGGCTTCTAAGAGTATTCTTCACAAGCTGCCATACTTTGTATCATGTCACTGAAGTTTGTTTAGCAATATAACAAATTATTATTATGAAAAGATAAGTGTTTATTTCATTACTCCGAGAGGATCTTTCTGACATGCATTTTTAAGAAATAAATGATTAGTGTCATTCTGTGAAGTTCATAACTTCTTAGGATGGGAAATAAGAAGAAAAAAGAAGCTATCTTTTCAGGCAATTTGTGATTTAATACCAGTTGGTCAGTGAATTAAAAAACTTTGAGTTGTATGTTTTATTATTTTGAATGCCTTTCCCCATTGGGAAACCAGTTTACCCCACAATCTTTCTTTCATGGTAAATGGCTCTGAAACGTTGATCCTCTCAAGTCAGTTTGGCAGATGTAGCAGACAGAGCATGTGCGACGTTTTATGTGCCAGTCCCACCTGGCTGATGGGAAACCATAAGTTAATTATTGTTTGACTTTCATTTCTAGGCATTACAGCAGAAGTTCTGGTGGTGACCTCTTTTGATGAACTGCAGAGAAGGGCCTCAGAAGCAAGAGGAAAGATTGTTGTTTATAACCAGCCTTACATCAGCTACTCGATGACAGTGCAGTACCGTGTCCGGGGGGCAGTGGAGGCTGCCAAGGTGGGGGCTTCGGCATCCCTCATCCGATCAGTGGCTTCCTTCTCCATCTACAGGTTGGTTATCATGTTTGTTTGAAATCTTTTCAAAAACCAGGGTTTTCTGTAAAAGAGAAGTCCTTGTGAAATAGAAACAAACCATTCAAATGAAAATACTGAGTTTTATGGAATTTCCCCCCATTCCACATTTGGTCATTTGTTTGTAATATCTTCTTTGGCTCTTTAAGTGTCCCAGCCATCATTTATGCATTCCTTTAAAAAGTTTTCCACATCCACAATGATCCCATAACATTCCTTATATAACTAATATCTTGTGTATTTTCATTGGAGGGAGAGCTGAGTTCACGTCTGTGTTTCATCAAAGATTCCTAATGACTTCAGAGGAAACCAGGCTGTTTTCCATGTTGCTAGAGAAGGGAAATAAAAATAGAGTTGGTAACGTGATGGGGACCTTCTAAGGTGCAGTGGAAAGAGCTGAGGAGGTAGAAGACCTGGGACATAGGCTTGGTGAGGCTCCTGAACAATTGTGTGAACAACTTTAGTGTTTCTTAGACTTCTCTGGGCCTCGTGATTCTCTTCTACTGATGAACAATGCAAAAGAATACTAAATGTATAACATCATGATGAAACAAACTTACGAAAAATACTTGGTTATCTGTAAAGGTCTGTATAAATGTTTGGTGGTATTGTTAGAGGACAACCTAAGACATACCTGCTTTGTAATCCTGTTTGAGGTAATGCTTTATGTATTTTACTGTTAATTAAATTTTTCCTTTTTATTTATTATTTTATTTACTTCATTTTTTATGAGTGCATATTTGTAATACAGAGTAGTGATGTTCATTTTGGGGAATTGGTACATGTATATAACACATCTTGATCACTTTTGATCCCGTCATTCCCCTCTTTTTTCTTTCCCTCCTCCGAATCCTCTTCTCTAGCTCTAAGAGTCTACTTTCTAGTTTTCTATCATCTCTCTTTAATTAATTAATTAATTAATATTTTATGCTTCTCATATAAGTGAAAACACACAATATATAACTTTCTGAGTCTAGCTTTTTTAAAACTTAGTATGATGGTCTCATGTTCTGTCCATTTTCCTCCAGATACATATTCCTCCTATACAGACATATATTCACATTTTCTTTATCAATTCATCTATCTAGGCTATTTCCAGAGCTTAGCTATTGTGAATTGTGCCATTATAAACATGGATATGCATGTAACACTATAGTATGTCTTCCATGCTTTCAGAGATGTACCCAGGAGAGGTATACCTGGGTCAAATGGTATTCCTATTTTTTTTTTTGGAATATCCATACTGATTTCCATAGTGCTTGTGCTAGTTTATATGCCCACCAAAAGTTTGGAAAGGTTCCTCCTCCTACCCTGCATCCTCACTATTGTTTTTGTGTTCTTGATGATAACCTCTCTGACTACAATAAGATGGAATCTCAAAGTTGTTTTGATTTGAATTTTCCTAATTGCTAAAGATGTTGAACAATTTTTCATATACTTATTGGCAATTTGTACTTCTTCTTTAGGGTAATGTCTATTCAGTTCATTTGCCCATTTATTTGCTTGAGTCTTTTGTTTTTTATGGGTTAATTTTTAAATTTCTTTTTATATATTAGATATCAGTCTTCTATCAAAAGAGTAGCTTGTAAATTTTTCCTCTTATTCTGTAGGTTGTTTCTTCACACTGTTGATTTTGTTTTTACTCTGCAGAAGATTTTTATTGATACAATCACATTTGTTGATTCTTTTGTTGTTTTTATTTTGTTTGTTTTTTTGGTACCGGGGATGGAACTCAGTACCTTGCGCTTGGGAAACAAGCATGGTGCCACTGAGCTAAATCCCAGCCCACATTTTTCGATCCTTGATATTATTTCATATGTTATTGGATTTCTGTCCAGGAAGTCTTTGCCTATGCTTATGGCTTCAAGTGTTTCCCCTATGTTATCTTCTAGCAGTTTCAGTTTCTGCTTTTATATCTAGCTCTTTGATTTGTTTCAAATTGACTTTAGTACAGGGCGAGAGGGATCTAGCTTCGTTGTTCTGCCAATGAATATCCGGTGTTAGCAGCACTGTTTGTTAAAGATGTCTTTTCTCCAAAATATGTTTTTGTATCCCCTTTGTCAAAAATCAGATGGCTGTGGGCGCATGAGATTGTTTCCGTGTTTTCTGTTTTATTCCATTCTGTTTTTGTACCGGTACCATGCCATTTTTGTTACTGTAGTTTTGTAATATAATTTGAAATTGAGCATTATGATGCTTCTAGCATTATTCTTTTAACTCAGGGTTATGTTAGCCATTCTGGGTCTTTTCTGATTCCATGTGTAATTCAGAATTGTTTTTCTAGTTCTGTGAAGAATGTTGTGGTATTTTAATAGGGATTGCAATGAATCTGTGCATTGCTTTTGCTAATACCATTCTCATAATATTAGTTCTTCCTATCCATGAACAAGGGATGTCTTTCCATTTTTCTAGCATCTTCTACAATTCATTTCTTCAGTGTTTTGTAATTTTCATTGTAGAGTCTTTTATCTTCTTGCCTAGGTCGATCCCTAAGTATTTTTTTGAAGCTGTTGTGAATGGAATTGTTTTCTTGATTTATTTCTCAGTAGGTTCATTATTGGTGTATAGGAATAGAATTGATTTTTCTGGCTTTGTGTAATGTATTTGTTTATTTTTATAAGAGGCAAAAACTTTTTTTCAGGCAAGGTTTTGCTGTTTTCTAGGCTGGCCTTGAACTCTTAGGTTCAAATGGTCCTCTTGTCTTAGCCTCTCAAGTAGGTGGTGGGCCAAAGAGCTTTGTTGACTTTCAGACCTAGGATGAAATTCAGTATTGCAATGGATAAATGCCAAAAACATGACCTGTAGACATTTGGCCTAGTTTAATAGCTATATGTGGTAGTGTCATATGTTAAGGATAAAATATTTTAAAAACACAGATAAAAGAAGCATCATCTTAATGTTGTAGCTTAGTCTAAGATTAAAAATTTAAAGAAGCAAAAATAATTGCAGATAGGGTTTATTTATGACTTAAGGCTGAATATTTAGTACCTATTATAAAGAAAAGTTTATAACCAGCCGCTTGACCTTAATTAACACTCTACACCCTAGACAATAAAATAAGTGAGGGAGACATCAGCATCTAAGAAACTCACTCAGAGAGGAGTTGTACAAATTTCAGAGAAAAGGAAAGAGGCATTTTTCTTTTACAGGGATAAGATGTCTTCCTGAGGGAGGAAGATGTAGTATGTTAAAAACCACTCATCAGGGGTTTTATGAGAGGAAACCTAATCACTCTGGTGTCACAGTGCTAAAAATACTATTCTTTGTAAACTCCTCAATGGTTTTGTGACTAGTAAAATAATGACTGGACCGTATTCTTTTGGATTGCCCCTCTTCCCAGGAGGAAGTCCTAAAATGAGTAGCTAACTTCCCAGAATACCTCTGTCACTCCTTGGAATAACATGGTCATGATTTCACTGGTCATGAGACTTAAATTATGGAGCAAATCTGCTGCGTTTTGAAATTGAGAGGCTGCCAGAAATCTTTATTTAAGAACTACTCATAAGACTAATAAATTCCCAGTTGACTTAGTGCACAGTGATCTGCCAGGGTTCATTGGCACTTTTTCTTTCTGGCACAATGAAGACATCTGGAAACCCAACCAAAGCTACAGTCTATGCATAGGAATTGTCTAGCATGAGATTTCAAAATGTTAGCTTCTAAGGTTTGAGATCAGCAATTTATAGTGTGCATTAAAAGGAACTTCTAACTCATTATTTCTAGATCTTGACTGATTATAATTTTTCATTTTTTTGTGGCTAACAATATTTCACTGGATTCTTAACATTTTACTTCTATTCTTTCAACATTTGTAAATGCATAATAACATTGGCCTTGACATAGTACCTTAGAATCTTTCATGTATGTCATCTTATTTGTTATGACAACCTGAAGGGCCATGCAGACATTATTTTCTCCATTTTGTGGGTACAGAAGTAAAAGTTTAGAGAATTAGACACATTATCATGGTTAAGTCTTGCATCCTAAAGACAAAAAGTAAAATGAAATAACCCTGTCTCTTTGTCCACTCTACTATATTGTTTTTAGAAGCAAGTTTCCTTAAAGAGTACTCTATATTCCTGTCCCTCATTACTCACCCCTCATTCACTTTGCAGACTGTTTTCATGTGCCTTTTGCCAGTACTGACATGGAACTTACTAGGGTCACAAATAGCTGCCTACTTTTTAAATAAAATGGACTTTTCAGGCCATCATCTTACTTTACCTGTCTGAAGCACTTGTTGGTTTTTTTTGGTACCGGGGATCGAACTCGGGTCCTTGCGCTTGCACAACAGGTGACGAAACCACTGAGCTAAATCCCTGGCCTTACTTGTCACTTTTGACTGCTTTTTAAATGTTTCTTCTTTTTGGATTCCATGGCTTTTTTCTTTTATTTTTTACTACTAGTATATATGTTTATGATACATAATAATTACATTTATTTGGGGGAATTGGTACATATACATATTTAATCTTGATCATTTTTACTCCTCCTTCCCCTTTCCTTTCCCCTCTTCTTTTCCCTCTACCCCTACCAGAGATCCTATCTCTGCCACTACTCTCCTCTCTCTCCCCTGCTTCCTGGTCCCCCCATCTCTCTCTTTTCCTGTGTATTGTTTCCTCATGTATTGTGGCAATTTCCAACTGCACCTCTCCAATCCATACCATTGCCTTGAGCTCTAGGCTCATATAGCCAACTGCCTGTTGATTCTTCTTTTAGATGTTCTATAGCTATTTCAGTTTAAGTTTTTCCAAAATTGAACTCATCCTTTCATCTCTTTTTCTTGCATTTTCTAGCTCAGTAAAAATAAAATCTATCTTCTAAGTCAGGTAGTCTTTGATTACATTTTTCCTTTTCCCTTGTCCTTCATCTTGGCTTCTGCTCTTTTTCAGTCCTTTCAACAAATACATATTGAGCAGCTCCATTTCCCAACGTCACTTCACATTCCAGTTTTCAGTATTCATTAAGGCTATTCCAAT